TAGAGCTCAGGGGACATTAAGGTAAACCTGTTTCCTCACCCTGTGGACTAGTTTTAATGCATGATGAACTATTCAGATATACATGTATTTCACATGTACATTTTTTGTGTCTGATCCCTCATCTTGTTTCTGAACCAGCGGTTCAATGTGAGGCTTAATGTGAGATGTGTTCCCATTTATTTCCATGAGCTGCTTAAAATCACTTCTCATGCATCCCAGCCACTTCTTTCCACAAGAGCACAGGAGCAGCTTGTGGTGAGATGTCCAGACGTGGACAGAGAGAAGCGCAGACTTGAAGGGACTTTCAGTTTACTGGGCAATAGTGCCCCCTTTCTCTCATGGTCTCAATGTTGTGTGCTCTGTGATTTCCAGAACCTTGCGTGAAAAGGTGGTGTTCGAAGTGAGGAAAGTGCCTCGGACACAGGTGTCTTTCTGAACCACGTGTGCTGGCAGAGAATCCCCAACGTAGCGGTTCTGGCGCGTGGCTGCAGTAGGGGATTTCCTCAATCTTCTGCATGCCAAACCGCAAAGCCAAGAATAGTCAGATCTGTGAATTTCCCTTTATGTTCCCTATAAAAGATATTTCAAGGAATATGTCGGTAGCTTAGGGGTGTTTGTTGTTGTCCCTTGGTAACAGTTTTGAGCTCTTCAGGCACAGATCTTCTTGTGCTACTGTACGTGACTTGTATGTTCCTTGTCACATAAGAGCTAGGAAATGGCTAAAGCTTGAATTTTCTCATTTAATTGAGTGGACTGAGCTCAGTCAGGTCTGTGTCATATGTGTGGTGATCAGCCAGGTGTGTGACTGATATTTCTAGCAGGGAGGTGTAGGATCGTGGTTTGGTGCTGTGCATAGTCAGGACCATGTTTCCATTGCCTAGTTCAGCGCGTTTGATGCCAGAGTTTGCTTTGTATCCTGGACAACCGCATGCGTGCTTGAATGTGTGCGTGTGTCAAATTGCATTCCTGTCCTACCCTCGGCTACACCCTGGACCATTTTCCTAGCATGCATCCCTTCTTTTTGTCTGACCCCTCCCAGCTTGTGGCATGCCTAGTGAATGAAACCATGTGCACGACGTTTGCTTTATACACTAGACCGCTTCATTCGCACGTGCAGATTTCTGTGTTCCACAGTTGTTTCCTATGAGGTTTTGCATATAAAATAAATTAAATTCACCTCTTCATGGTGGATTAGGTATTGTACATGATTTTTGCTGATTGCAGTCCAGCAAACCTGTGCACATTAAACTACAAAGCCATCATGTTGTGACCATTTCCATGTCCATTCTCTTTATCTTCTCAGTGACTGTCTTCAGCTTTACTGTTTTATTTTAAAACTAGCCCAACAGTGTTAATCCTGCCGGCTTTCTTGGTGATACAAATTTCATTTCACCATCACCGAAGCCCCACTTTAACGCCCCTTACAGCTGCCAGCTTGAGAGTAGTTAAGAAAAAGAAGATTCCCAGAATTTTAATTGGCTTGGCTCAGAATCCACTTAATCACACTTGTACTGTTGCAGATGTACCGCATAAATACTCAGTGGTCATGTGCCACTGTTTGGAGAAATTGGAGGAATAACGTAACCTCCCAGTGAAGCTGAAACCAAAAAAAAAATTAACAATTCCCTTAAGAACTAACAGATTCAAGATGGCTGTTTCTTCTGCTGCCAAACAACATATGTCCAGAAATGAAAAAATGAACTTCCCTTCTAAAAAACAGAAACCTGTCAGATCTGAGAAATTCTCAAATGCATATAAGTAGCATTTTACAGCCTGGAATTCCAATATTTTAGTAATGAGGGTGTGCTCCTTTTTGTTTTTGTGCCGCCAGTTGTTAAAGACAAATCCGCACAATGTTGCCTCATGTTGTCTTCGTGTTTCTTGCGTAATGTTTTATTCACAGCAAGTCCTACAGCCCTTTGTGGACGGGAGGTATCAACCACATTTTTCTTTAACGGTGGGGACATACATATCCAGTATCATTCAGGTCACATAAATCAATGTGATCTCTGCCATTGTAAGAGGTGACTTAATCCTGTCCTTTTTCGAAACTCATAGTTCCAAGCTGTTCCTTCTGAGCTGTAATCACTTTAACTGCTGGCTAGCCAGAACACACAACAAAAAAAAAATGAATAAGAGTCCAGCATGTTGCTAATTCTTCACCACTTCCTGGGTTGTGGTAAAGTCATTTTAGTCTTCTGTTGTTAAATGCAGTGCAATACTAATAATTGTGATAGCTCTTTTGCTGAAACACATACAGTAATCTGCATAGCTTTCAACAAAATTTCAAATTATTCAGAATTTTTTAGAGGATGTGGATCCTTTTACATGGATCTTGTTTTATCCACAGAAAGCAAATCGGATTTTGTCCCTCATGAGTTCCCTGGTAGGTGGCATTAGATAGTTTTACCCTACCACTTGTGAGCAACAGGCCACGATCAAGAAAGGTGGTATATAGCTGGGAACACAGTTGTGTGTTGAGTACTTCATTTAAAATCCTTGAACACAAGCTCTGCAGACTGCGTTTGTGTCGCAAGACAAAATAAGAGACTAATGAAAAGGCTTTGGCTCTGGCTGTTCTTAACCAAATGACTACTTCTCAGTTCCCATAGTGATGTTTGCAACCGAACAGACCTAATTCACACCTCCTGGGATTGCCAGTAAAGCATTCAGGCTTTTCAAAGGAATAACCACTATACACCTCCTGTTGGAAACAATGCTCACTGTCACTGTCATATGGACATTATCTCCAGTATAGTGCCATGAATTAATTAATGTATTAATGTATTAATTCAGCTAAGATCTCTTTCTAAGTACTCAAATGAGAAACCCTGCAAATAGTAAATAAAAACATTTTTTAAATATATTTTAAATTTTGCTATGGAACTATTATATGAATTATAAAATGTAATCTTGCATATACAATATGTAATTTTGTGACAGAGTATGGAGGAAAGTTATAGAAGTAAGTTATGGGATAAAGACATGGCATAGACTTGAACTCCTGTAACTTGACCCATTTTGTGTTTAAAGTAAAAGGAGCTTATCAGAAGGGATGGGAACTACACTTCTCAAATGGCCCATTGGATAATCAAGGCCAATTGTAGATTTCCCAAGTTAATTGAGCACAGACTTTTCTCTCTAACAATGGAACATGGTTCTGCGTGGTTTATTTATTGAATACTCAAATGTGCTTCTGCTGGCTGAAACCTTGAAAAAGAGCACCTGTTCTCCCACCATTTCCTGACTCCATGTCATCGTTTTGCCCCCCTTACATCTCTTTCTTGCACCAGTGTCTCTCCACGGAGCTTGGTGTTCAGATGCATATTTTTTAGATTAGCGTGTTTACATGATTTCAGTGCTTTTTAAACTACATTCAGCTCTTTTGCTGCTGTACATCATTTTCACTGTAAAAAATTACAAGGTTATATTACTCTCATGTGTTGAATTATAGTTAACTTTATTGTATTTGTCATTTATAAGAGAGGAATCTGCAAATGACATTAGCCATATACAAATGAAACACAGACTGTGGGAAACTAACCCCCTGTTTCCCATATACTCAAGTATTTACTGACCATGGGGGTTTTAAGAATGCAACCCCTGCAGCTGGAAACTGAAAGGAAACTGAAAACCTGGGGGTTTTGACGGTCTGAAAAATATAAAGTAAAGAAGCCAATTGGATGAGAATATTAAATTGACTTGAAGTGAATCAGAAAGTTTTTTTTCCCCTTTTCCTTCCCTGGGGTTAGTTTGGTAGTGGGCAGGGTGGGATAGCCACGCTCAGGTTAGTTAGGAATGCTTTCAAAGTGTAGCTGGTCCTTCAAAACAAGGAGTCACAGGAGCTTTCGCTGGATTAACATTGTTGGAAGTTTTTGTAAATCTTTGTCAGTGGTGTAACATTAGAGCCTTTGTTTTGTACTAATAGTAGAGCACAAACTCTTCCATACATTACAGCACAAGCCAGTAAGACACAGCTCTGGTGACCAGCACCCAGAGGTGTCACAATATATGAATATTAACTTAAGTTCTTATTATAATTCTAGTTAGAATGGAAGCCTTCAGTCACTTTGTCTCTGAAAAGTATATATGTGTCTCCTTCAAGACATGATCTTAAGAAGCAGAAATGACCACATATTCCCGTGCATTTCTTCACGAGCTGCTCTTCATCGGGCTTTTCCCCGGCTTGCGTCATTAGTTGCACTTGCCGTTCTTCAGCCACAGCAACAGGCAGTGCGCGTCTCCATGGGAACTCCTTTTAATACGGATTGATTTGCATAACGGCGCTCGGGGTTTATTGTGCTGCGAGACCTGTGCGAAGGGGAAGAAGCCGCAAGGAGAGCGTCACTCATCTGGACAGGAGCCCAGACGCGGCCCCGCGTATCAGATGTGACTATCCATGGCCCCCGATTGACAGGACAGCTTTGGGGGGGGGGGGGTTCAGCTGTTAACTAACCGTTCCCCCTCCCGAAGCTCTGGGCTGGGCACCACCACAACTCAGTGCCGTTTCTTGCTGAGGCCCCGCAGCTTGAAAAAAGGCCTTTGAAGACCACACTCCCCGTTTTCGATTTCATCTCACAGGCCCCAATTACGGGGCGTCTTTAGTTAGCGTAATTGAACTTTTATGGAACACGACTTGTTTTTAAAGTACTGAAACCACCGAAGGTTTCCCCACAGAAAACTGCAGCTTCCAGTTTTCTTCCTGAGCGCTGCCCATCCTTGCGCACTGTCATTCATACATACACATTTACTTCACGAGCGGTCTCTAGACAGCACAGTTAGAGAATTTCGACAAGTGTAAAGCTGCCTTTTAAGTTTTTTTTTGGGGGGGGGAAGAAGTACATGTGTAATACAGGGCCTCTTCCCAGCAGCATTCTCTGCAGTACCAGTTTAGCGTTCCGGTACCCACTGGTTCCGAACAGCGAGAGCCGGCCTTGCCCACTGCGGCGTCTCGAGCGCCTTCTCCGCATTCCTACCTGCTGTTCTGTTCTCCCCGGCAGTCCGCCGCGTCCCTCCCCGCTTCTCCATCCCCCCCACCAACCACGAGGTGATGCCGGGCGGCAGCGTGAACCTGACCTGCGTGGCGGTGGGCGCCCCCATGCCCTACGTGAAGTGGATGGCCGGCGTGGTGGAGCTGACCAAGGAGGACGAGATGCCGGTGGGCCGCAATGTGCTGGAGCTGACCAACATCCGCGAGTCTGCCAACTACACCTGCGTGGCCATCTCCTCCCTGGGCATGATCGAGGCCACGGCGCAGATCTCGGTCAAAGGTAAGGCCTGTTAAGGCCTGGGCCGGGCTGGTGGTGTGAAGACGGGGAGGCACAGCAGGGGGAGGCTACAAACCAGCTGTCTTAGGCCGTCGTGTGTCTAGAATCTGCATATTGCGGTAACCTTACCTCTCCGACAGACTGAAAACCCTTTCACGTAACTGTTATGGGACTCTGGTTATGAAACTGGTGCTTGCCAAAACGTTGATCAGAATCCACTTTTTTTTCCTGCACCTTAAGACCTATTTCTATTTCTGTTTCACCACAAGGGGTGGGTTCGTTTCACTCTCAATTATGAATCATTTCATAATTTTTGGTGTAAGTTTTGGTGTAAGTACTGTGTTCTCTAGTTCTCTAGTGAGCCGTACCCCCTGGGCTGTAGTTAATGGTGACCAGTTAGAACTTACCAAACTTTTTGAGGAGCTCACCACCTGAAGCTGAAGATCTTGATCAGCAGCTGCGCAGGTTAAGGCTTATGCAGTGTTGTTCTTTAAAGACCAAGTTAATTTACTACAATTTTAGTGTGGAACCTGCCTGACCTTTTTTTGTCCCTATACTGAAATAGTGTTGGTGTAGGTGCTGGAGTTTAAACACAGTTATCAAAATAATTCTTATCGGCTTTCTACTACAAATTTCTTTCAATCCATAGCTATCACTTTGGCCTGGAATGTAGATAATCTATTTCTATTTTTTAAAGGATCTGTAAATGCTTGCAAAACCCCACTGACACCATTCCTGCCTGTGCAACCCTGAAAAAAGAACAAGGGGCTGTTGTTTCAAATGCAGTTACTCCTATATTGTGGCGTTTTCTGTTAAGTATTAGCTTCAAAGAATCGTGATGGTAAATAGTGCTACCAGAGACGTAGACTGGAGCGTCCACCGTGTTTAAATATGCATTTTTAAAATGCCGAAGTCAGATGGCAGTCCCTCATGAGCTGTTATTAATCTGAAACTTTCCTTCTTATTTTGTGTGGCATTTTCTTTTAGTTTAGTCTTTGCATATGTATTTCCATGTCTTTTGAAGCTATCTGTTTATTGAAGTTGCAAAAAAGCATTTTGAATGCTTTTCAAGCTACGCTGTACAGCGGCAGCATCTCCACGGCTGAATCTATACAATGGAAATTGTTACAGACTGCACTGTATCTCTTGAAGTGATCGATTTGGACTCAGCTGGAGCAATAAATATAAAAAGCGCAGGGGCAATACACAGTAATTTGTTTTTGGAGTTTTTTCTTTTGCAGTGCAGGAATTTTCCATTTTACTGTGCACGGTTGTAAATGAAAGAAACATTGCAGCACCTTACAGAGCCCATGTATGATTCAACGGTACATGAATATAGATTTAGTGTAGTGTAACCAATGTGTAGTTACAGCATTGTAAAGAGTGTTTCGTGCATCTGATATTTCCCTTTTTAAAATATTGATCACAGCACCGAAATGCTGTGTGGCTGTCACAGTCTTGTTTATACATTTAATTTTAGAATGAAACGTAGAATGAAAATGTGGTAGGAATGAAGGATTGGCATTGTTTTTCTGGGTCACGTCTTGCTAGGTGAGCGGTGGAGGATGCTGATCAATAATTACAAAGAATTCCCGTTTTCTCCCTGTCTCACACTGTCTCCCAGAATTATTGCTTGGTAGTGTTTTCTGGAGTATTGGCATGTAGCGCCAAATTTCATTTGGCAAGAGGTAAAAATATTTTAAGTGGAAGCTTTGTAGAAATGTATTTTTTATAAGTGGAAGCAAGGTGAAATGAAAAAAAGCCTGTAGAGCTTTTTTATTTCACCTTCAATATATGAACAATAAGCAGTGCATCTCCAAAGAAATCAAAAGAAAAACTGACAACGAGAGTTAAGAAGTCTTAATGTGTCTTCTGTGCTGTTTCACAGCCTTGCCAAAGCCCCCGACATCCCTGATAGTGACCGAGACCACCGCTACCAGCGTCACTCTGACGTGGGACTCTGGGAACTCCGAGCCCGTCACCTACTACGTGATCCAGTACAAGGCCAAGTCCTCCGAGTCTGGCTTTCAGGAAGTGGACGGGGTGGCAACCACTCGGTACAGCATCGGGGGCCTGAGCCCTTACTCCGAGTATGAGTTCCGGGTGATGGCGGTCAACAACATCGGGCGGGGCCCCCCGAGTGACATTGTGGACGCACGCACCGGGGAGCAGGCCCCCTCCTCGCCCCCCTTGCACGTCCAGGCCCGCATGCTGAGTGCCAGCACCATGGTGGTGCAGTGGGAGCCCCCCGAGGAGCCGAATGGGCAGATCCGCGGCTACAGGGTCTACTACACCACCAGCCTGCAGTCGCCTCTGAACACCTGGCAGAAGCACAACACCGATCACAGCCGCCTCACCACCATCCCCAACCTCACCCCCGACACCACCTACAGCATCCGGGTGCTGGGCTTCACGTCCGTGGGAGACGGCCCCCCCTCCGACGTGCTCCAGGTCAAGACTCAGCAGGGCGGTGAGTCTGCACTCCAGCAGCCCGCTTCCTTCAGCCGGTTGCTTTTGATGTACTTGGGAAGCGTTGGGGAAGCCCCTGGGAGAACTGCTACGCTGTAGCTCACCCGGTCTGATCTGCAGATCTCCCCACCTAGCTGAGGGGCATCTGGCAGAGCAGAACACGTTGGGAAATGGGGAGGAGGGGGGATGTCTGAGAAACACTGAAAAAATGCATCGGTTTATGAACGTAAACTGGGTTTTTGTACCAGTATTCATTCCCACCCCCTGTTACAGCAGATTTTGGATGATGCCAGCCGCAACTGGCTGAGACACCTGACTGTGACAATATAACTATGTAACTTCTGCATGTTAAGCTCATACGAATACATATATATATATACAGCAGGTTTTAACTTCTCAGTGTTTCTGAAAGGCAGAGTTTACCAATGGGTTATGCTTAGATATATTTTGAAGGGAGGAGAGTATGCTGTGGGAGTTCAAAAGATCGCATTTTTGGAGAAGTGCAAAGAGAAGGCCTCTACCACTTACTCAAAACCTTACTTTCTACTTGATGATCTCTCTTCCTCTTGCTTGTAGTCCCAGCCCAGCCCTCCAGCTTCGAAGCCGAAGCGGAACTGGACACGAGAATCTTGCTGACGTGGTTGTGGCCCGTGCAGGAGTCCATCACCAAGTATGAGCTGAAGTACTGGGAAGCAAGCTCTCCCAATAAGGTACAGAACCAGCCCGTCAGCCCCAGAAAGCACTGGCATACACTGAGAGGACATGTGCACTATCTAGGACTGGGGCTATCGCACTGAGGCTAATCAAGATCCCTGATCGCGCAGGCTGGTGTCCTTGTGAGGGAAGCTTACATTCTACACCCCAACTGTGTTTTTTTTATATCATAATCTTTGGTTTTGGCTGTAGCAACTGGATGCATAAAACAGGTTAGAAGGTCCCCAATCTCCTGCCGAACCTGGACGAGTTAGACAGATTTCTTATAGGTGGAGATAAAACAATACGCAGTAGCGCCTTTAAGAGATTACAGAACACAGTGGCACTTAGCCAAACAGTTAAGTGGTGTTTTTGGTTTGTGTTCGAGTGTAAGTAAATGTCCTTTGCATTGATCACCTAGGTCTAGTTTAACCTTTGCTGACATTATCTGTAATTGTGTGACCCATAACAGGGACTTTTCTCTAATTACTAATCAATATGTCATTATAAACATTGATGGCTCTATGTGGCTGAAGACAAATGAGGGGCTTAGAAGAGTTGTTGAATGTGTATACACCTGCAAACAGTTACATGAGCAGACAGAGATTAAATACACCAGGTAGCATTTTTGGTTTTGTTTCATATGCGTGAGTTAGTCTCATTATCCCCAAATGAGAGCCAGGGAGATAATGTAGGCTCTCAAAGAGAGTCTTAGCGGTTGGAGCAGTTAAGTCTGAATTTACATTTTTGCGTAATACAAGAAGTAATCTCGCATTCCTGCATGCTCTCCTGAGATTGACTCAATCAGTGCAAAACAAAACAAAAAGTTTACTCACAGCATTCCCATAGTTCAGAATGTGGCCTTTCTCTCGTTGGGGAAGTCATATACGGGTTTTAGTGCCGTTTCCTGGGAGTGGAAAGATACTTTTCTAAATACCAGGAGCCAGGAGCCTTACTGGTGGGTAGAGTGAGTTAGGTTTACTGGTAAAGCTAGCTTCCTTCAAGAAATGGCAGGACAAAGTCCTTTGATTAATTGCCTGCTAGTTACCAAACGAGCTGGACCTGGGCTAAATAATGTTTCTTATCTTCTCAATAATGATGTACCAGCATCCTCAATTAGAAATGCCCCTAGACCCCTTCAGGTCAAGAGTAAATGTATTGCACAGGAGATTCTGATGAAGCGCTTTAATTAGACAATCTGGGCCATAATGAGATATTGCACACCTGAGATCTTCGTGTCAGATTGCGAGAGTGATAGTAGTACTGTTGCCTTAATTCCTGTCTCCTGAATTCCCGCCTCATGTCTGTTTTCTAGGAGATCCATGTTACCTTCAATCCTACTGGGTCCTATGCAGTTGAGGGCCTGAAGCCAGACACGCTGTACAGGTTCTCTCTTGCTGCCCGCTCAGAGATGGGTCTGGGTGTGTACACGCAGCCGATTGAGGCCCGCACTGCACAATCCAGTAAGTCACCTTCCCTCCCAACCCGCCTGAGGGTGGACACACAGCAGGACGTCTCTTGATTTCAGTGGGACATTAAACTCCTCTTTCTCCTTTACAGGCTGCAAAGCGTTCGTTAGATTTTTATTTTTTTAATTTCTGTGCTTTTCAAACAAGGGCCTGCTCTGTTCATTGACAGGGACGGAAGGTATGTCTGGCGTATATTGATCAATCTTATCTGCATTTTTTTTTACTGAGAAAAGACATCGATTAGCAGCAGGTGATATGGAATGGAAGCGTTGAAACTATTACATCCAGACCGCCAAAGCTTTTTTCATGTACCTGTTGGGATCTAAAGGCTTTCTGTAAATATCCATCGATTTGTGCCCAAAGCCCATGGCTCTAATCCCAGCTGGGCAGCAGCCCATATGAGCACAGCCTCAGAGGTGCTGGGGGAGCTGAGGCTAGAATTCAAGCTGTGGAACAGATGGTAAGAGTGGAGCACTTTCCTCCTCTCGGCCCTTAGATGTAGCCGTTTGTTGAAGTCATCTAAGCTCTACTGTCTAAATTGGCAGTTTGCGGTGACCGATCCAGATTTTATTTGATTTTTCTGTTCTTGTTTGTCATGTTTTGTCCCTTACAGCAGCCAAAGCAAAAGGACTAAGCCGAAACTGTCGGGTTCTTTTTATTCTGGGGTGTCTTTTCTTGGAACTCACCAGGGCACCCCTTTATAAACCATCTTGGTTTCCGCTGCACTGCAGAATAGCCCAAAAAAGGACGAACAAACGTCCAAAATTCACTTTGTTCCTTGCAGTGAGCCATTTCACATATTCAAAGTTTTGATAGAACTTAGAAAGTAATAGCTCCTTTAATTCAACTTCAGCAGACTTTTAACATTTCACCTTCAGAAGGCGAAGACAGATATTTTCCTGTTCTCCACAGACACACAGCCAAGAAGTTTGAAATATTTAAGTCACTTTCCCAAGAATCCGCGTTTATTCTGAGCTGTTTGTTTCACTTGTCAGCTGCAGACCCCTGCTCACCCGGGGTTCAGTTCCCATAGGAACAGCGGCCTGAAATGTGCCTCTCTGATTCTGTCTCCTTATCTCTGTGCTTTCTGACAGACTGAGTCAGAATCCCCAGAGATCTGCGAGCATGTCACTGAACTGAGTAGCTTTCTGCCAGGAGTGCACATAGAAGCAACTCTTCTAGAGTAGAAACCTCCCCTTGTTTGATCTGCAGGTGTTTGACGACAAGAACAGATCTGTAAACTGTGTGTGGTTTACTCCGGCTTTTTCTTTCTCTGTTTACTTTTTATAGTGATAGATTTATGATTTTTTTTTTAGCATTTAGCATTTTTTTCCACTATGACCCCAAAGTACGGCCTCTTGTACCGATTTTTAATTGGTGCCGAATTTCAACACCTTGCTTGTCGCAAAAAAAAAACAGTGTCTATCAGAAGCTCAGAGGGCCTCGAGAGTTTAAAAGCTGGTATTTGGCTCTGTGCTCGCTGCTCTGGTTACTAAAAACGCAAGCAGGCATGCAAGAAACATTTGCTTGAGAACAAACATCCCCTCCTGCTCCTCACTCCACCCCATTCCCCTCATTCTGAGCTGTGCTGCACCGGTTCCTCCGTTCCTGCATGTGGAAATGGCCTTGTGTTTTTGTTTTTGTTCTCGGTTTTGTTTATGCCATTGTTATTCCATCTTAATGTTTTTGTTTTACTTCTGGACTGTGGAGAATTCGCTAAGAGGGTTTACTTCAGATCGCAAGGAGTCAGAGAGTCTTTGATATTCAAATAGCGTGTAACTGAAGCACCACTGTCAGAGCTGCTAACAAATTGGTACTGATGATGAAAGAGAGGACCTGTGAGAAGCATCGCTTTGCTGTATTTAGTTGTTTTTTGTTACATTTCAGCGTATTGTGCTCTCCTGGGTTTAGGCACATATTTAATATGTGTATTTTTCACTTCTTTCTGGGAGTGCTAATGCACTTCCTCCGTGGTGCCACCTCTTGAAATGTCTCGCTAAGAGGAAGACTCAAACGTGGTTTAGGCTAAAGGTGTAAGTACCTTAACCTATTTTTTTCACCCATGTTTGGGTGAAGTTCCTTGTTCAAGGGTACAGCAGCAGTGTCTCAGCTGGGATTCGAACCCAAACCCTCACTGCCGTTTCACACTGCTGCCCCAGTAGTGGCAGTGTAGACAGCTGGTGGAAGGAGTTTGGTTGCGGTTAAGGATTTGTTAGCAGCTCTCTGTGTGATGCCAGGGGTAGGGGGGAAGGAAGGTACTGAATATCTCTGAGCCACTTAGTGAAGGCCTGTCCGGTTCTCCTCCCAGTCCAGAGGTCCATTTCCGTCCCTGCTTGATCCATCGCCCCTCCTTGTATTGTATTTTCAGCCCCCTCCGCACCCCCTCAGGATGTGCAGGCGGTCAGCCTGAGCTCTACCAGTATCAAGGTGAGTTGGGTGGCGCCCCCTGCTGGGAGCCGCCATGGAGCCATTGCCCAGTACACCGTCGCCTATCAGGCTGTGACCGGGGAGGACGCCGAGAAACATGAGGTGACAGGGCTAGCGCCAGAGGCCTCCAGCTATGTCCTGGATGGCCTGGAGAAGTGGACGGAGTATCGGGTGTGGGTGCGAGCTCACACAGACGTGGGGCCGGGACCGGAGAGCCTCCCAGTGCATGTGCGAACCAACGAGGATGGTATGTCAACCACTAACACCATTACTAACTCCTCTCACATGCATGGTGCTCTGGCATGTCACATTGCTTTGTTCTAAATTCTGCCTTATTGGCCTGGATATACACAGTTAGGGTGCTTTTTTCCAGTCTCTCTTGAGAAGTAATGTGGTTCGGTCGCCTTACTTTACTGATAGGCTAACGTGGGTAAAAATCACTTTTTTTCCCGCACTGTGGTGTCAAACTTAAAAAAATGTTTCTCTCTGCAGTCTCTAGGCTAGCCGTCGCTTCTATATTTAGAGGTTTTTGTTTCTGTCGGCCTGCTGTTCTGCTTGCTTTACAAAAAAGTAACAGAAATTAGAAGCAAAATAACAGGAGATGGATAGATATACATATGTACTGACTTGACGTGGTCCATTAGCCTGCATAAATCATGCATGTTATCAAAAGCTAAGACTTTTATAAAATAACAGCTTCCAAGTGTCACATTGTACCCTCCCAGCAGTCCCATCAGCCCTATGAAAAGGGAAATAATTCCAGTTCAGCACATTGAGTTTTGGGATGTGTGTTTGAATTACCGTGGCTCTGGACATTAACACAAACCTCTGCTAGGTGTAGGAATAGGTCTAAGTGACAAACTGGCAGCTGTTTTTAAGCATCAGGATAGCAAGCACTTGGCTGAGAAACAGTTTCTGTTTTCTTAAAACCCAGTAAATAGACTTAAGCTTATCGCCTGTTTTGTTATCTAAAGATTTAAGTTGCACGGAGCAAGAGGTTTAGGACAGCCTGACCTTTCAAAAACGTGAATCATTGAAATGAAAGTCTGAGACAAATCTGCACTCATACCGGTCTTCTCAAGGAAATCGAAGCACGCTCGAGATAAGCACCAAGACTTCAAAATGGCTTAAGACCATGGCAGCTCATTGTTGGTCCTTGCCGCTGCTGATAAAGACTGTTTGCCTCCTCTGAGCTTGCCACAGCTTCAGTTCTGATCTACTAAACAGCTTTTTGACAGCATCTTCTGCAGGGCTGCTGTTGCGGCAGCTAATAAACTAACCACAGTGATGCCCTTCACGAGTTTCTGCTTTTTTTTTCTGCCTTTTTAATCTTTTTATGTTTTCCGCTGTCTTTTATTAATTTGATTCCCTTATCCTTTATTGGGTTTAAATTGTCTACTTCGGTCGTGCGCAGAAAAGCGTTGCAGTGGGGAGAGGGGCAGGCACGTCCCGTTTGCAAAGCCGAGCAGCTGCTCTAGGATGACTGGGCTCAGATGCCAATTCGCACTTAGTGTTGTCAGGCCCAATACGTTTGGCAGCAAGCTGGGGAGCTGCAGCATGGCGAGAGCAGCCTGCCCGGTGCCTCTCGCCGGTCCAAGCGCACATCCGTGGGCCCCAGCTGAAGGAAGCGGCTGGTGTTGCAGGGCTTGTTCTCTCTCGGAGGGCAGGAGCGCTTTCAGCTGCGGTCCTGAAGCAACCAGTACGCCTCTCCCCGAGACAGCATGTTTTGTTTTCGCTAAAGGGATTAGCTTCCGCTCTCCTGAGCGCTTGTCTCCATTTGTACGCGCATCTCCCCACGGGGCTCGAGAAGTGGGCTTCTCGCATTGTTTTTGCTCTTGATTTTCCTGGCAGACCCGTCTGATTTTCAGCAACTGAGCACTGTCTGTTCTTCACAGATTATTCTAAGAATATCTTTGATTAGGAAGGCCTAGATTCATGCTAGTTGTAGACTTTTATTGACTGGCTTATATTTTTTCCTCTTGTCTTAATTCTTTATTTTCGTTCTGTATCCTCTCTGCATTTAAAGTCTTTAACATTTCCGTCTGTGGTGTCAGGGATTCTGGCACCTGTTCCTCTTTGATAGCTGGTTGATCAGTCTGAAAGTTGCAGATCTCATTTACTCTCGACTCTGAAGAACCAGCCATTCCAGCGACACATGACTCGAGCAGATAGCTGCTACTGGCAACTCTGGTCTCTTTATTTTCTGCTTAGTAGGGGGCAGACATATTGCCACCCTTTATGTCTGTTTCATAATTCATTGTCTTAATAAACTGAGATGTAGGCAATTTTTCATTTTATAATTAAAGAAATTTAACGTCTCACTGGAGCATAATCTGTCCTTGATTCCTAGGAAAAATGACTTTAGCAGCCTTAATAGTAATCTCTCCATACCTGGTCACTGAGGCTCGACAGTTCAGCTTGTCTCATTTCTAAATTAAGTGTATTGGTTAAACCAAGAATGAACGTCCCTGAGTGACGCGATATGTTCACATTCTCCGCTGACTTTTCTTCAAATTACATAGGGTCTTCAAATCAGTTTCACTTTGCTTCAGCCCACATGTTAGATGGGCTGTGTCCAACTGACTTAATGTTGAAGCATTTTTCCTGCCTGCATTAAACAGTTTTGTGACATGGCTGTCATGCTTTTAAGGTAAAAGAAGGACATCTGTGGAACTATTAACTATAACTATTAACACACTTCTCATACAGTAACTTGGGGATGGGCTACAACAGAGAAGCCTCGTGTGTTTGTGGGGTTTGTAAAATCTCTGACCAGCGCTAAGGGCAGTGGTTAGGAACTAGTCCCCCTGTGGAATTGCAGTGCTTTCCTTACTTTCCTTTCAGATATCCCTTCCAAAATTACTGAGAGGGAAAATGCTTTCCGTTTCTTTGGTGATGGACAGTGATTGGTGAAAAAATCGAGCGCTCACCAGGTTCCGTGTTTCAGCCTTCAGGAGTACATTTTTCTTTTTTGTGTTGCTCGTCCACACATTGAAAAATGATGACTGTGATGCAGGCTTTGTTCTTCCCCTGTGCCTGTTAATCCTTCAAAGGAAATGTATTTCTGGTTACCACGGCTCTGTCGCTGGATAAAAAGGTCACATTTACAACAAAGTAAATGCAGGCAGTTGTCACCTGCGTTTACTTGGCCAAACTCCAAAAAGGCATAGCCCTGATTGCTCAGAGGGGCTTGCAGCATTGTCAGCTACTGCTTAGAGCATCAGGTACAGACCTTGGCTTTCTTCCTTGATTAGCTTCAGGATATGGTTGTGCGTGTGTGTGTATAGACTTGCATGCACACAGCCTTTTATGATCTGTACATCATAGCCTTAGCTGGGTGCCAATAGGGGTCTCTAAGCCTTGTGCATAATGCCTTCCCTTTCCCGCCAGTTATTGTGCTGTAATGCATGCTCTGTCCCTGCCGCTCTGCAGTGCCAGGCGCACCCCCCAGGAAAGTGGAAGTGGAGGCGGTCAACTCCACTGCCATCCGCGTGACGTGGAAAGCCCCCCTCTCCACCAAGCAGCACGGCCAGATCCGGGGGTATCAGATTATCTACTCGCGGCTGGAGAACGGCGAGCCCCGAGGACAGCCCAATATCATGGACGTCGCGCTGCCCGAGGCGCAGGTACTGCTCTCCCGCACCCTCGCGGTCTCTCCTACACCACGCCAGAGCTCGGGGATCCAAACACCGCGGCAGACTGGCACTCCCATGTCTTCCGAAACCCAAATCTAAAGCACCTGAGCCGATCCCAGGGGTACCAGCGGGTGTCAGGAAGATCTGTTTATTTCCGGATGGGGCTCGGGTCTCAGGCAGGTGCCGTGATTGTGCGTCTGGGTACGCACGGTGGTGAAAGTTTAACAATGCTGGAGCGATATTAATGTGACCACAACGGGCTGTGAACCGAACCAACACAAACCCAGCCTGGTTGTCAGGGAGGTTCTTGGCTCTTAAAACTTGATAGCGACACTTCCAAGTTCTAAACATTTGATTCAAAGCTTGTTGTGAATCTTGGCCTTCCACCACACAAGACCGGCTGGCTTGATTGTTGAGGAGGGTGTTACAGTAAGTATCTGATGCTCAGGCAACTGGGGATATATGCTAATTGGGAACAGTTTAATTTTATATGGGAATATTCTTTGCCTGTTCAGATTCACCCTAACCTTTGTGTTTTATCTTAATAAAAATGCACTGCCTTGTTATCCTGTTATAAATTATATATGATTTTACCTTCTTGTTCCATAAATGTTAAGTTGCCTGAAGAAAGGCAATCGGAGCTTAATTTTAATCCTGAACACGGACGCATTTACGCAAGAATATCTAAAGCTATCCTTTGTGTAACAGAAGTACTAGGGCATTTTTGTGGGATATACTGGAATCAACATGTTCCCCGTACACACAGCACTGTCCACAACTATTTCTGTATTCGCCTCTTTATGTATGCAACACTAAAGAGCAGTCTGCAGTCATAAAAGACAAAAGATGAGATACAGCTGCAAATTCTAAGGTGTTTATAGGTCCTTCAGAAGCTGCCATAGAATAAACTCTGCACAGCTTGCTTGTGAAAAATTCATGGCATTGATATTTGAGTGTTTTAATATGTTTTAATTATAACAGTACGGTAGTAAGCAAATATCAGTAAGCAATACTGTTAAAATACTGCACCTTGTAATATACTGTATATTATTCCAGTAAATTAACAATAGATACACATATCTTTTTCTTTTAGCTACTAGTAATGTTTAATACAAATTCAGGTCGTTCCAGACACCTTCCTGTAGCTTAATATAATCGCTGAATCTAAAGTTGCATTGCGGAATTCAGAAAATATTATGAAAATCTCTAAAAAGGCCGAGTTGCTGTGGCAAGAGAAGCTTGATAAAAAGAAAGTTAGCAGCAAAGAGCTCTTGGATTCATGCACGGCGAGCCGCTGCAAGCTCAGTTGTGCCTATCTGAGGTGTGGTAAAGATAAAGCATAAAAAATGGCTTGACCTTACGTGTTGCAAATTTTGGACACAGAATTCCTGTTTATCGCTGCATATGCTTCGCGTCGGCATTAAAAATACATATTGCTGTGACCTTATGTATGACGGTCTTGTCATCGCTCACTTTTCAAGGATATTTCTCAAATACTGGAACTTGGGTTTTCTATTCCAGGAGCTGCCTTTTGCCTTAGACACAACAAGCCCACAGTTCTCAAATATTCAGTGAGTCATGGCATTGCGTAGTCTTGTTCTTTTTGTTTCTCGGGGATAAGGTTACACCTCTACTTCTGTATGTACATTCCTTACTTATCAGTTAGGTGTACACAAACAGACGGGGATAAAGGATTCAGCGTCTAAAAACAATACTCTGTACTTCTGCCCTCTTTTCACCTGCCAGCACTGTTCTGCTGGTTTAAATGGTTTTAAAGCTGCTTTCAGATAAGTTTTGCATTCCTTGCCACCCATTAGCACAGGAATGAGAAAGCACAAGCAAATTTATCATCGATCTAGAGACTTGCGTAGGCTTGATCTCCATGCTAGTATTCCCCCAGAAGAAGGAAGGCTTGTTGGCGATGCCTTTTACTGCAAGATGTTGAGGCAGCGACTGTTTTTAGCTTTTATTTTTGACACAGTCTTCAAAGTTGTATTAACATCTAAGTAAAAATTGGGGTTTGGAAGTTTTTAGGAAAAAAAAAATTTTTCATTTCTCTGAGCTCATTTCATGCCTGATCTTTTAAAAAACATTAAAAGTTACTTTGTCTTCCGGGTTGTCTTGCAAAAATATCCATGCAAACAAAATTTGTACTCGCGTCAGTGTTATAGGACAATAAGTATTCCATGCCTGATGCTCTTTTTCATTGATATGCTGGATGTGCCTTTAATTAATAGCATGAGTTGCTTGAGGTGACTTTACTTAGCAGTTTAAATTGTTACTGTACTGTAAATATAACCTTATTAGTTTGAAGGGGGAGGGGAAGCTTTTGATAAGGAAAATCAATTTTTAACAACCTATTGCAATAATTTCTAGGAGTAATTTTCAGCAGAGATCAGCAGATTAATTTTTGTAGGTGCTGGCCTGGCTGTGAATCATGTTTTGGTCATATGACTTAGTCGCATTTTTACAGAAGTTTTAATCTCCTGAGTTTCATGCTGTCTGTCTCGATGCCTGTGTTCACTGCTTCTGCTTTCAGACAGGAAAAAAATGCAGGCCTCTGTTAACCCGATGAAATGTGGGTTCTGTCTGAACTCAACACTTGAGGATTGATTTGTCTTAGCAACCGCACTCTTTCCCTTCACTGGAAATCAACACTGAGATGTACAGTAATTTGTATTCATTATTTTACCAAGGCTATAAAAAGGGGCCTGATCTGTGACTGTAACGATCTATTCCAGGTTCCTGAGTTTTAAGTGTTATTATTATACACTCTTCTGTCAGAGTAAGGCATGCTCATGCCATCTGGGCTTTGCTGAGCACCCTCTCTGGCTCTGTGTGTCCTGCTTCTTAAGGAAAGCCTCAGTGAGGAAGTGGCAGCTTGGAATTATTCACAATGCTGAGTATCAGCAGTTCTAGGATGTAAATATTATAATTGGGAATTGTTTCTCATATGCTTTGTGAGGCATCCACATTGGAGTAGCTAGAAGTCATTTAATTTGCCTCTGCTGCCTTCAAGGACATACTGTTTACATTTTTTTTTAAATGTTTGGCGCCTAACAATCCCCACTCATTTTGTTTCTAATATCTGTCAATGGTCTAAGCAACAGTTTATTCAAAACACTGTCTATCTTTTGTAATCCCTTTTTAGTCCTTTGGAACAATTGGCTTGCAGCTCTAAACCTTAGGCCAGCATTTAGCAGTCCTGATATTTCACAGATCCGATATTCCGGGTGCCATGTGGGATCACGTCTCCTCCAAGGCCTGCTGGAAGCAGTTGCTTAGAAAGGACCTTGGCTCAGAGAGTGTTTACCTTCCCTTCTCACTCTTATTTCCATTTCCACCGTCAGGAAGGGGTGAGATGAAATCAGAAGAGACTTTTTCACTACATAGGCGCATCATGGAAACCTGTTCGGTTTTGGAAAGAAGACAGTTTCAAAGCTGGTGACCGCTTTGCTTGGCTTTAAAAGCTTCAGAGGTAAAGCACTGGTTATTAATGCGCACTGGCAAAGTCCACTGGCCGTGGCAGGGAGAGCGTCCTTACCAGTTTCCTGCTGCTGTATTTTTACAGGGAGGTAGAAGTTCATTTTTCTCAGACCTCTGGGACCGGGGAACTGCAATGGGAGGGTTCTCTTCTTCTCATTTTTAGTCTTTGCTCGGCTTATTTGCGCTCCAGAAAAAGACAAAAGGCTGCCTTATGATGTTGCCAAGGCTTCAGATTATTTGCTTCTGTGTTGCCACCTCATTACTTCACCACAAAGCTAGGAGCCAATAATGTCATGGAACCGATACAGTGCGGCTTGTGCGGGACATTTTTACTCGCAGAAATGAGTCAGGCTTGTATTGCTACTGTAAGGCACTTCCTACTGTGCGGTTCTGAAGATCCACCTGTCCATAGATTATCAGAAAGCCTCCGGGTCCTGTTAAGGGTAATAGCATCCTGTATTTGCTATCCCTGTACCGAACGCCACACCGATCGCTACTTTGTCTTTGGGAAGAGACCAGAGAACCTGAAGAAAACACAACGGACACGGCGAGACTGTGCAAGAGCCACACAGAAGGCATCCCAGGCTGGAGTTAAACCCACGACAAACGAGAGGAGGCCACTGGGGAAATCTGACCTGTTTGATAGTTAGTAGCTAATGAACCTGAGGGTCTCATCCAGTCATTCTGTGAAAGAAGCCTATGTATAGGTTTCAACAACATGGCTGTGTATGTTTTTTTATACTCCCACAGCCTTACATGTAATAAACCTATTTGTCTATAATTACTTGTTTCAGTTTTGTCCTCCTTCTTATGGATGGAGACTGTTATTGTCACATTAGCAATGCCACCTGCGTTGGAGATTTTAATATATAATAATTCAGCTGCGTATTGTATCTTTCTTTGAACTGATAGTGCTTGCTCACATTTCCAGGCCTAAGCTTGGCAACACTGGAGCAATTTTCAAATGCTGTTTTTAAAAGTTCGTATGAAAGTCTTTCAGTCATTAGCACCCCGCTCATATTCTGCTAATATAGTGTAAAAGCATATTGTCACAGATGTTTACATTTACTGCCATTCTGGTACAGAAGAAGCAGCTCTCGAGAGACACTCTTTGCCTGAGGCAACTGTGATCAGATGCACAGAAGCTCTTTTTGATTGCAGCCATTGAGATTTGTAGGTCACGGTCTTCCACAGTTCAGTGGAAGTTCAGTGTCCAGCTTTATTCATAGCTCCAGTGTATGAAGCAAAGAAGCGAAGGTATCGTGTTAGGGCAGCATGGTGGTTAGCATAGTTTGCTTGCACCACTGGGGGCGATTCCTGGGTTCAGGTCCTGGGGTGCTGTCTGGGTAGAGTTTGTACATTGTGTACTTTATCACGTTGGTTTCCTCACACAGTCCAGATACATTCTTGTTGGTTAATTCGGTACAGGGAAAACTGGTCCCGTCTGTGTTTGCCCTGCGATGGACTGGCATCCTATTCATGTTGTATCCTGCTTTGCACCCAGTGCTTGCCAGGATAGGCTCTGGCTCCCCCACAGTCCTGTATTGGAAAATGCAGTTAGAAAGCGGATGGGTGGGAATATGAGTATGAGTTTCAGATTGGACAATGTGCTTTGACTGAAACATTCTTTAGGTCATCATAATAGTATTGCTCAGAGTAAAGACATTTTTTTCTGAAATTACATTACATGAAATTACATTTCAGACCGCCCAAGAACCTGTTGGTCGTAGGTTCTTGTGGCAGCAAGGTATTCTTGTATCCTCTTTTTTGTGAATTGTTTTTATAGCTCTGCCCCCAGTTTGCAGTCTTCATAGAGCACATTGTGGACTACACGGTATGTGCAGGGAATGTGACATTTCTTCACCTTTTCTAGCAGCCCTTTCAACATCCTACAGTTTCTGTTGCCTTTTCGGCTTCCGTTCAGTAGAACGTTTCTTTCCCTTTGACAGGTCAGACCCGGAACATCACTCCTGATTACATCCTACCAAATACAGCCACCCCTGTTCTATCCCTTCGGCTACTTTTTTTTCCATTTTGTTGACATACTTGTGTATTTCCCTTTTTTTTAAAAAAAAAAGATATGCCTGCTGTTGAGGTTTCTATGCAATGTGTTCCTCAGCCAGCCTTGGGAATTCTATAGGCGAATTCTTTTAGACTTTTAGAAAATACAGCTGCAATTCAGAAGTACTTGATGTACATAATGGAGAAGCGCATTTATGGTATTTTTAAATTAGAAAATTGTAATTAGAAAAAATTACAGTTCTGATATTGAATTCTTCTGGCACCTGGCCACTGTGCCAGCAGAGCTGACAGTAAATAAATGGAGTGCCTACTACATAATTAGTGCAGGAAAATTGAGGTTGTTCAGCAAAGCAGGCATAAAGTAGACTATTTGAAATATATTATAGAGTCAAATGCTACTCTCATTTCCCACACTTCAGATAAAATGCAATGTTTCATAATACAGTATACAACATTTATGATCTTCATGCATAAGAGGGTAGCAGAGTTGGATTTTCTTGTTTTTGTTTGATCCAGTCACTTACCAGTTTTCTTTCTGGTAACAAAGCAGTTATCAGACAAGCAAAAGGAGGAACATACCTTCCGATTTGCTTTCAATAAGGCAACAGAGCCACAGACCAGAATACAGATAACTCTCCAGCACTGGGACTAATTCTGAATTGGCAGCTTTGAGTGTGTTAGGTGTGTTTGAGAAATGTAATATAAAGAGGCGACATTCAAAATCGAATTCCCATTGCCCTTATTTGTAAGACACAGCCGTTCCTGTCTGGTTTAAAAAAAGCTGTGTGTGGCAGGGGAGGTGAGGGGGTTACACAAGGAATGGGTGAACAATATGCTTCCTAACAGGAGGGGGGGAATAAAATACCTTATCCCGGGATCAATGCTGAGTGAGCAAAATGAATAACCTCTGGAGGTGAAATTTCATCTGAAGTCAGTGACAGACGCATCACAGCAGATCTGAAGGGGACCTGAATCCTTCGCCGTACGAGTGTCTTTATCAGGAGGGAAGTGAGGGTGAGGTTGGGGGGTTGGTGGACTAATGGGAAAAGAGACGGCTGCGTTTCTGTTGTGCTCTACTGCTGGAGAGCGCAATAAAATCTCATTAACACACTGTGGGCAAAAGGAGTGAAGAGATATAACTACTGGCTTAAAAACAGGGGGAGAGATCACATTTAACATCCTAGTATATTTCATTGTGGTGCTTAGTGGAGTGATGTGACCATATGTGGTACATTATGTCAACAAAAATATTTGATAGTTAAAGTGCATCCTCTCAAAGTATAGCTTTGACTTTTGTTTACCATCATGTGCCACAGCTGCCATTGACTCTCACAACCAATTGCGACGACTTGTTGTTGCACCGCTCTTATTTTTGGAAACTGTCCTGGCTGAGCGTTCAATCGGAGATGCGCGGGGCAGTTCGTTAAAAGTGTACCTGTGTGCAGAGCAAGGGCTGCTCAGGCAGGAATGAGATGGATCGATTTCCTCAAGTGAAGCTTGAGCACCCTGGAAAAACCACAGTTAAGCTTGCAAAGCTTTGGTTTAAGTCCCTGGTTTGCCAGTCTGGCCCAGAATTTAGAGTTCAGAAGTTCAGGGAACAATGGCATAAGTTAATTGGTATAGTTTACAGGTTAAAAACTGGTAAGATGAAAGGGGTTTTGTAAGTTTCCCTGACACAGGTTTGTCAAGCAGTGTTACTTGACCTGCCTACTGCCACCCTGCTTTCAGACTTACCTGCAGAGGGGTCCTTTTCCCCAGGTGATCCGCAATATGTCTGTTCTTCCACTGTTCTTATAATATGATCTTGAGGAGTTTCTGTTAATACTGGAGATCTGTAGCCAAGGACAGTGTGGCAGTTCTGTATAATTATTTTGCAGTCGCCACGTAAGCAGAATTTTTCACTTTGCTCCGAAGTTGGTTTATCCTCCTTAGGAAATCCAGAGCTTGACCTGCTGTTAGTCCTGCAACGCCACCTTCAGTCCAGGCACAGCAGTTAAAATGTCGATTCAAAGTGTCAAGAATAAAATCGGTGGCACCTTTTTCATCACAGTTTAGGGTGTCAATGGTTTCCTTCACCTTGTCTTGGGAGACTGCTCACAAGCATCTCAGAGGCATCAGAGGAGGTTTGTGGAAGATCTCTTCACAGTCAATACTGTGCTCTGACTCCAAGATCGGTTTGTGTAATTCGATTTCATGGTCTCTGCTGCCGAGGGACCTTAAAGCTCAAAATGAGCTCTGGCATCGCGTGAATCATTTGCCAATAAAAGATTTTAAATATATATTGAAATTAAAATGGGAAAATAGAAAGACATTCTTTTGAGCGCTGCAGTAAATAAAGGTAGTAACTTCTTGTAAAACATCAAACATGCACGTGAGTTATGATAGTCGTATAATTTAAGCAATGCAATTTGAAAATGTGTATTATTTTTTCATGTTGCTGTCGGTAAAATGGTTCATGGTTTTCACTCATTGCAACAAAGGCATAACAAGGCAGTGCATCAAATTAACAAAGGTCTTTCTCTTGTGATTTTATGTGTATATGGTGCGTTTTTCTTTTGATAATGTGATTTTCAAAGCCCTGGAGTTTGACTACAGAACAGAGTTCACTGAAGATTCTTTTCACACCTGTGATCAATTGTTGATCCATTGTTCTTAATTGATTAGCCCCAGAAGACTTGGTGATGAATTCCTCCTGCAGCTCTTAACTGTATTTTCAGTTTCAGAGTTCTTGTCTCCAGTTTCCAGGTTTACAGGGAGTGACCTCAGGAGGCCTTGTAGGAGATTCGAAGCCTAACTGCGTTTGTTCTATTACAGGCACCTGCTGGCCAATCCTATTTGGAGCCCTAGTCTGCACTGCCGATAGCTAGGAGGTTCAAATGCAGTGTGGGTGGCTAGCCCTAGTGTTAAAAAAGCACCCACTGACTGAACTGTCAGCATAGCCTAGCAAGTGGCGCTGTTTAAAATGACAAAGCCATTTGTTTACAGTAAATTTAGTAATTCATTTAACACAGGAAAAACAATTGTTACAAAAGGATGAATCAACGATCATCATCTTTTTTTCTTTACTAAAAGCTTGTTCCCCCATTTTCGTCCTAAAGTACTGCTCTTCCTCCTATTGATATGAACGTCTTAACATGAGCTCCTGTAAACTCTTTCTGCAAAACCTTAATTTTTTTGGGTTTTGTTCTGATCTGTTTTTGATTGCTTTGTTTTTCCATCTGTCTTCTCCCATCAGTGGAAAGTTGAGGAGACTACGGACTATGTGAGTAACAGCAGTGTGTGCCAGTTGGTGCAAGGCGGGTTTCTCTAAGCAACACTGGGCCCTTGGGAACTGTTTAACACTATCTTATCTCCCTCCCACCCCCTCTTGCTTTCATAGGGACTAATGTGCTCAACTTTTAAGAAGTCACAAAGAGTGATAAATTTGAAATCCAGTAACATTTATCCTTTAAATCACTTAATTTACTGTTAAAGCTTAATGTACTTGGAACAAGCAGCTTGTGAAACAGCATGACCATCCTATTTTCTTTTCTTAACAGCAATATGAACCTCCCACCCTGCTTTGAAAGTAGCTGCAGGATGTTCTGCATAACTACTTAATTGCAAGGCCCCGCACTGATGTAGACTGTAATGCTAATAGAATATTACACACTTCAACTCTTGCTATGAGGCTTCCGGTTCAGATGTTTTCCAAAGACATCTGTCCCCGCTCTGCTCGTTCTGAAGAGCTGTTATTCTGATAATGCTCTGTGATCTCAGAGCTCCAGCACACTTCTCTGTGCAGTGCCTTAGTTTTACAGCGGCTGGCTGTTCCAGATCTGTTGCCTCTTAAGTCTGTTTCCACTCCACCCTCATTATAAAGGGTCTCTAAAGCTGCCTTTTAGTGGTAAGCGACTGCTTACTCAGCACTTATAATGCCCCCCGATATTCTAACTATTTTAACTTCAGCCTCCCCAAACCCTTCCCTCGCCAGTTCAGAATAAGAGTCCAGTGGTTATGCAGGAGGTTTTTTTTTTCCCCCCTCATATTTTTTTATATTCCTTCTTTTTCCCTTTATACAATCTGCTTGGCTTCCAGCAAAGTGTGTTTGAAGGGTTGGAGGAATCTATACCTAGTCTGGGGTGCCCTCTGGTAGAAATGTGTGAAGTACATTTCTGTCGGTCACCTCGGCGTGTGTGAAATGAACATGACTATATTCCTTTCTGCTCTATAAGGGGGACCAGGATGACCCAGTGGTGTTTGTTGCAGACGGCAAGAGAGTGCTGTAGACACAGAAGCCCGGTAGCCCGGACTCGGGCTGCCCTTCCGTCTCTCGCCCTCTCTTGCTGGCTCCTCTGACATCTCTTTGCGTGAGAATTTGTGCTTGTGAGCTCGCAGGAGCTGCGGTTGTAAATCCTCTTCTTCCTTTGATTTTTGTTTTTAAAGCAGGAGGTTAATTTGTGGCTTATATGAGTATAATTTGTTTCAGCCCGCCCCTCCTGTCCCTTTAAAAAAAAAAAAAAATGTTTTTGCTCTGCTCATGCCAGCACCACTGGCAAAGAACGCCCTCTGCTTGCCTGCACTTGCCGAGCCTGCCCTGTCCGGGCCTCCAAGACTGGCTCTCTGGGCTCTGATTGATGGCGTTCCTCACCGTGTCTCGACTGCAGTCAGCTGCTCGTCTGTGCCAGTGAGGGGCAGATCACGGGGAATGAGAATATCTAAACCCCCCCCCGTAAGTCTAAGGTGCTGAGGGGTGGGAACTGCGGTGTCGCCCTCGGCTGCAGCGCTTCTCTGAATCAGGTTTAGCTTCGTTGTGGAGGTACGAGAGGATTTACACCCGGCGCCTGTGACCTTCATGATCTGCGTTGCACTTTTTGTTTCTGAGGGCATTTTTTTTCCCCCCTGTGTTCTGTGACGTGTTGCCTGCCTGTGTGCATCTGTGTGCATCAGCTTAAGTGTGTATCGATGGCGTGTGCAGTATTGTGGGTATTTGTGGGATGCGTCGCTGTACGGGGCGGAAGGTGGAGTGCGTTCTTGCTCTTCGTTTTCGTCGCGCCGCAGTGCGGCTCGGACCCCTGCGTTGCGCAGGCAGCTCTCCACGAGGTCAGAGTGCACGAAACTCCAGCCACATCCTGATGTTTCAGGACCTAATGCTGATGCAGCCTCACGACAGCAGATGAGACTAACAGTGTTCCTTTTGATGAAGCCAAAGGTGAAATCAAATCAAGCTCGTGCACACTCTAGAATAAATGCCACTGTTTTATTCCCTTATCTCATTTTATTTCAGTTTTGGCATTAAATGGTTTTCATATGTCTGAGGTGTGAGGAGTGTATCTTAAACACGCACCTGTCTGACAAAAGAACCTGTTGTTCCATTATAGCCAGGCAGTGAAAATCTTAGGACAATAGAACTAAATTAAATGTACAGCTTAGCCTCAGAAATCCCAGGTTTTTATTATTGAGGTTGTCGTGTCAGGTTCTTTTCAGGCCAACAGTTACATGATTGGAATTGCAGCCTTTTCTTTCTTTATTTTTTTTGTCCTTGTCTGTGGCAGCTGGGTAATGAAAAGTGTTTTAGCTTTAATTCATTCATTTCAAACAAAGCATGGATGATAATTTGATAATATATTATCCCGCCATTAATGTCCCCCTTGTAAGAAATGGACAGATGTAGTCAAAATATTGAGTTTTTTATCATCCTTAATCAGCCTCTATATGAAATTGCATTTCATCCATGCAGCTTTTAATGGACTGTGACTGAATGTTTGCAAGTCCAAACGGAGCCCTGTCTGCCTAATGTTCTCTTACAGACAAATCCAGTGTCTAAATGCTCAGTGTTTTACATTGCAAAAAGTTGATTTTGTGAGTTATCAAACCCATCTAAACCTCTTCAGCACACATTAAAACAGTGAAAAGTTGGAAGCATTGACCCCACATTTTTAATTAATTCTGCCCTTGTTTTATTCTAGATTAATAATATAGATTATTTTAAGTTATTTAATCTATTTGTACTTTGTATATGTTTATACATTCAAAAATGTTGTGTTAATTAAATTGTCATTGGCTCTAAGCAGAACTGTCAAGTGATGACCTTTGATATTTAACAATAGTCAGAGTTACTAAAGGTATCAGAGCTCAGCAGTGAAATCTTTTAATTTGGTTGGCAAGTCTAATAAAAGTGGGTCTTTAACCAATTTTTTGTCTTGACACAGAATTAAATTAAACATTTCCAAGTGTTAGTTCTTGGAAAAAATCCCTCTTCTTATGACATGAGAATTAGTTCTGTACAGCCTAAAACCTCTGCTGAGACTTTATACAATCATCTCAGTAGCTTCCGACAGATTGGGTTTTCTCCTCTCGTGTCACTCTTTGGGGAAAGAAAGAGAATAATAATTTTATTTTTAATTGAGTAAATCTGGCATTCTCCATTTAATAAAGCAAAAAGGAAAAAAAAAAACGTCCTTTGTAAAATACAAACTGTATTGACATAATTAGAAACAAAAAGGTTTAATTAATGTAGGGGGTCATTAATAATGCAGGAAATGTTTTGAATTATTCCCAATATTAAGTAACTAGAAAGCCTTCACTCTGTAGGGGTGCATGTTGGGGTTTTTCGGTATTAGTTTGTCATTTGCGAGGACGTGTACTAGCTGTCAAAAGCTAGTGACAGTCCAGTTTGAAAATAAGCTGTGGTGGGTGTTCTTCTCTGGAATTTCCCTCGAGACACGGCTTTGTGTGAAGGTGGCCACACCCTGGCCCCGCTCTGTCTCCTCCTTGGTTGTCTGTTATTGATGACAAAGGGAGTTTATTCAATTTTCATTCTGGAGCCCACAGTTCCCTTCTTTGTTTTTAGAACGTTTTAGTTTAAAAAAAAAAAAACCTGCCGTGCAACTTGTGTGGGGGTTCCGTGTCAACGTCTGTTTGAAAAGCGTGCCGTAGTGAAACTCCTGCGGGCGGCCTGTGCATGCCACACGGTGGTTTCGGCATGCTTGCGTGTGGAGAATCCTGTGCGGCCTCGCTCGAGCCCTTCACAATGTGTGAATGTGACACACTCTCTCCTGTGTGCGTGCTTCAGAGTTAATCTTTTGTGGGAATGTTTTGCAGTTAAACCCTGCCATTAAGCTAAGCAGGGGGTGGGTGGAAGCTGTGAGATCCACTCTTTTTTTTTGTGAGGTTGTGATGGTTTTAATCGTGTGGATGATTCTTCCTGTCCCGCAAGGCGATGAACTTTAAACTGGAGGGAACACCACGAGGACGTTGGTCAGGATGTGTTACTTCGCCATATACTGGCTTCTTTAATCACGTTTGTTTTATAACGTCAGTTCATTTGTTCACGTGGAGCTACCATATGTGTCAGTGTGTTCACTTGCTTATAAAACGGAATTAATGAATATTGATTCCCTTCGGTTAATGAAGTAATGATTTATCATCTACGATTTGGGAGAAGCATTGGCTATAAAATTTAAGGACAATGTAATCAATCCAGGACAGACCTTAAGAAGCAGAGGAAAGTGCCACTGGCTCTGCAGTCTCATAGCCATGGAAACACTGAGCCATTAGTTGTTTTTATGGCTTGAACAAAAATTTCAAAAATTGACTTTGGTTGAGATATCAGTGTTTCTCACAGGGAAGTTTCTAATTTAATTTCCTCAACAAAAGAATCTCACATTTTAAATATACCTCACTGGATTCCAGCTTGCAGCATACCTCAAAGGTTTGTTGTTAAATTTATGTCAGAGGATTTGCCAGGAATTAACAAACAAATAGAATTGTCATGTTCTTGGTGTGCTGCCGCAGTCCTCGACAGGGAAAGCAGCATAATGGATATTTCTACTTTCCTTGTAAGTGACGAGTCAAAGTCAGTAACCATATTTCACCAAACTTCTGTCACTTTTAGTTCCTCAGACCTGAACGTGACTCTGCAGCCAAGATTGGAAGCTGAAAAAAGAGGTGGGAGGGACTGCAATAAAAACTGAAACACAGTCTTTAAAGCATACTGGAGATCTGGGGATTCCATGAAATAAAGAGTCGTATAACGGATCTCTGGTTTTCCAGGCTGACAGAGCTTCGTTCCACTTTGTCGCAGAGGCGGGAGCTGCTCACTGCGACCACAAAGAGACTCCGATACGAATCTCTGTCCACTCCAGGCAGTGGCACGCAGGAGCTGTAGCAGTCAGACGGTGGTGCCCCACTTGTCTGGAGGAGGTGTTCAGACAGGATTGCCAATTAGAGCTCTGTGGGAGTCTCGGTTGACCTTGGCAACAATTTCTGACAGCTTCCTGTCTGGATTGGTTAACAAAATAGGCACAAATTGGAAGACAGGCAGGTTCTGTGATGCGGGCACTGACACAAATGGTATCTTCTTTTATTTTTTGGTGCGTGTATACTGTTCTTCCCCCACGTGCCCTGACGGTGTTGAGTGCTTTACATGCAGCCTTCAGCGTTTCTCAATTAAAGCCATCAGAGATTTATTGTCATTATTTCAACAAACTCACTCTCGAAAAGCTTGGGAGATGAAACAGTGGCGATGTCTGATGGTTTTAATGTCTGGGGTGTGTGTGTGAAAAGTTGGTGCATGCTTGGATGGCTCATTTCTGAAGGTCACTGTTAGCTGAGGTGACGAGTGCAGAATTGCCCAGACTCTCAAATGACTTCTCTCGAAACATTTCTTTTCTCAGGAGGCAATTATAACTGGACTTCAGTCAGAAACCACGTACTCTGTTACAGTAGCAGCATACACAACGAAGGGGGATGGAGCACGCAGCAAGGCCAAAGTGATCACCACTACCGGTGCTGGTAGGTGTAGCACCAAGTTTGAACACTGCTTTGTGCCAAGACTACTGTAGACTTAAGATATTTATCATCTTGATATTAAGAAAGCAATAAACAGGACATGGTAAAAATGGCACCGTATCCCAGAGTTTTCGTTAAAGCACTAAATTACACTCTAAAGAGAAGCATAACATTTTTTTTTAACATTTTACCTGAATAAAAGAAGTCGCAGCTCAGTGCTGACAGATAATTCCTTATCTTGGGAGAAAATTGGGGCTTCTTTGTGTTGGTTCCTCCTTTCATACAACCTCGGCTGTAGTGCTAGAGGGCATTGCTGCTCCCTGTCTTCTTTTGGAAACATGGTGTCTATGCAAGATCCTAATGCCTGTAATGGTCCTATTATCTTTTAAATGTTAAAAGCCAGTGGGCCTGATTTTGTGAGCCTTCCCTGTGTGTCTCCCCACCGCAGTGCCAGGCAAGCCAAGCATGATGATCAGCACCACTGTAGGAAATACGGCTCTGATCCAGTGGCAGCCGCCCAAGGAGATGGTGGGCGAGCTGATCGGGTACCAGCTGCAGTACAAGCGGGTTGAGGAGGAATCGTACATTGTTAGAGACTTCAAGAAGACCGACGACCACTACACTGTCACGGGGATGCACAAGGGAGCCACCTACATCTTCAAGCTGTGTGCCAAGAACAGGGCAGGCAACGGAGAGGAGTTTGTGAAGGAAATCACGACCCAAGAGGACGTGCCCAGCGGCTTCCCCCAAAATCTACGAGTGGTGGGGCTCACCACCTCCACCACTGAGCTGGCCTGGGAGCCTCCGTTGCTGTCGGAGCGCAATGGGAAGATTGTGCAGTACATCGTGGTCTACAGGGACATCAACAGCCAGCAGAACCACACCAACAGTACCTCCGACACCTACATCACCATCAGCGGCCTGCGGCCCGACACGACCTACGACATCCGTGTAAGAGCCTTCACCAGCAAAGGTGCCGGCCCCATCAGCCCCAGCATCCAGAGCAGGACCATGCCTGTGGAGCCAGGTGAGCTGCCTCCCACGGTGACACCCGTGACACTCACACGCACACACCGAGGCAGTGCTGTAAGGCCCGGTCCCTGGGCTAGGTTTCTACGTATTGAAGAGGAACAGGTGACGGAGAAGGTGGTGAGAATGGGCTTGAGCAGGTATGGGGAGGGCAAGGAAACCGCGCTGAAGCCTGTGTTTCAGGAGGAACCACTGTGGAGAAACCACAGTTCCCTTACATTACGCCAATGGCACAATGATCATATTAGTTCTTTTTCCACTTTTTAATTCAGTCACATTGCCTTTTCATGTTTTGGGCTCTTTGTGAAGCTTGGCACGCGATGCTTGCTGTTATTATATTAAAGAAAATTTAATACAAAATTATAATACTTTTATACAGTCTTATATATGTATACTTATGTATACTTTAATTTCTGCTTGTTGATAACATTGATTAAATGTGGCACACGAGTTTGTTGCCAAGAAATGGTTTATTTCTTGAAACACGCAAGGAAACGGAGCATGTGGGGTCTCAGATTTCTCGGAAATTGGCTTTTAGACATGCAGATATAACTGTTGTTGTTGCCTTTGTTTTTTGTACAGTATCTAGCAATCCCTGAATAGCTCCTGCAAAGAGCACAGCTACACTGTCGCAACTACACTTTTCTTTATCTTGGGAGTTTTATTCATTTCTTTTCGTAGCTGCGTTGGCTTGTTTTCTTTAGCAGACACACACTTTTAAAAGAAATCACATAGGCAAAAGAAAACTCAATGTATTTCAAGACTCCTATTCGCAGTGGTTTCTGCAATGATTCGTAGTGAGTTTCCCTTTGTAAAGTCAGTTGGGGAAAAAAAATGCAAGAGTGAGGGGGAAAAGCTTATTGGACAGAGCCCTGGAACTCTGCTGGGGGTTACTGATTCCCAGGCCTCCCAGCTTGCTCTGTAGACTGGAGAGAAGTTCCCTGCCCTCTCTCAGCCTTGTGGATGCCTGTGGCCAGCCTTCACAGCTTGAATTAACATACAGCCCCTTTGCCCACGAGGATGGAGTCTTTTGTTCTTCAATTTTGCCCCTTGTTGCGTTCGCTATTCACAGAGTTAGCTGTCCCTTTGCTTATTGAAAACTCATTAAGGTGCGACGCTTCTGCCTCGGATGGATTTTCTTGAATGAATCTGAAGAAGTGTTTTTTTTGGGGGGGTGGGGGGACGATTGAAATCTGTCCTCTCTACTTAAAGCAATAAGGGAAAAAAACTAAGGTGCAGAATTGAAGAGGTGTTTTCAATTCAAAAATGAGCTGTTTATCCTCCCTGTGGTGTATAGCGCAGAGTAACTTAAGCAGAGTACTTAGCTCCCTGCCCAGATGCCTTGTTCTTGCAAACTGCCTGTTTCCTGTCTCTGGATGTAATCAAAGGTGGCCTCCTAAAATTCCCTGGGTCTTGTACAGCTGTCATTTCATAAAACAAATCTAGACAACTGGTGGCTCATGAAAAGATAAAGAGGCAATTAAACCTGTGTTTTACTCCTGTAGTGTTTGCCAAGAGCTTCCAAGTGAAAGCTGTGATGAAGACCTCAGTGCTGTTGACTTGGGAAGTGCCGGAGTCCTATAAGTCTCAAGTTCCTTTCAAGGTAAGCGCCCATTTCAGGGAAATTCCCTCTGTACTGCGAGAAGAAAAGAAAGGTTGCTTTTGAAGTCTTGCATGACATGAAAACAGACACATGAAAAGCAAAACTTAACAGCTAGATAGAGATCAGGTGAATTTTTTGAAAGTGAATCTGCTTTTTTAATCCCTCCATAAATGTGGAATTACTGTTGTGAGGGGAAAACGACTTTTTACACACTTGAAATTTCAATAAGTATTGATGTGCAGCACCTGCTGATGTTTCCTTTCCCACTGTCTCAGTCTTGATTTTAATAGCTCCTTCTGCAAGTGACTGTTTAAACTGCTTAGCATTACATAATCCTGGCAATTAACTCATTGTGAGTAAGCAAAGCATTTAATTGCCTTGAATATCCATTTAAACGGAAGTTTTTTTTGTGTATTTTTTTGTTAAATAATCGCATTAAACTGCCAGGAAAATTTACATCCAGTGGGCTACCCCTCCTCTCCCGATATATGGAAATTCTTATTGTTTCGGTATGTTTCAAATGTTTTGGGGTTCTATGCTGGTATGTTAGAAATTGGAGCTCATGGTGATCAGTCCCTTCTGTTTAATTCCTGTATGAGACAAAAACTAAATTGTTTAAATCGTCTTCTGTTTTCAAGGAACTTAAACATATTTTAGATCTTTATAATCTCTATTAGACATTTTAAAAAGTGAAGCATGATGTAATTCAGGCAATTAATTTATCACAGAGAAGCATTTGGCTAAGCCTTTAATAGCATTGAATATCAATTAAAGTAGTTTTGTTTATGTAATAATGGTTGAAATATTTTGGATTTATTTGGACTCAGGAACACAAATAGCTTCTCCACGCTGTATTTAAGCACTAAAACAAGTCCATTCAAGGTTAAATCAGTGACAGGAGAACAAAATGAGTCCTTAAGAGCTGGGGGGGAGGAGGACTCCTGTCTTTCAAATGTAGCTGTCACTTACTCAGCTCGGCGTGTCCTAGACTGATCGACCAGTTCTCTAATTGAGCGGCGACCCAAAATCAGAAGTGTTGACACTTCGGAATCCGGATTTGCCTTTCATTTCTGTCGTGAGCGCTGGCTGTAGGCGAGTGTATGTCCCCTGCTGCTGTGGCTTCTGTTGATGGGGCGCATCGCCCACAGTGTGGTGGCTAGCCGTGGGAGACCAGAGCCCGCAGGTGAAACGGTGTGGCCGAGCCCGGCGAAAACGGGGGTGCACCGTGCTACCCGCTGACGATGCGCCTCCCCGTTTTTCAGATCCTTTACAACCAGCAGAGTGTGGAGGTGCAGGGCAAGCTGAAGCGAAAGCTGATCACCAAGCTGCAGCCCGACACCGACTACTCCTTCGTGCTGATGAGCCGGGGCAACAGCGCGGGGGGCCTGCAGCAGGTGGTGTCCATCCGCACCGCGCCCGACTTGCTCAAATCCAAGCCGGTCATCTACAGGGGGCAGGAGGAGGACGGCAAGCTCACCAT